TAGAATGAAAGAATTGTGGTTCCGCCATTGTAGTTTTTCTTCTAGTGCAGGAGAATATTTGTGGTATTGATGTTGGTTTTTATACTTTGATATTATTGCGTCTATCATGTTACACTACTGTGTGATTGTGATGGGAAATGATTGTGGTTTGGTCGGACTATATTGCTCCTGCAGAGAAAAAAATAGAAAAAAGAGAGGAAAAGTGAGAAAAAGTGGTTCTTACTATCAAAATTAATCGAAAAAGGTCGAAAAAATATAGAGAAAAAAAGAAAATAAAATGAGAAAATAAGTAAGAAAAAAGGTCGTTCTTCTATCATTAAAGGACTTATGCCGGACCAATGATATGGCTACAGGGAATAGTAATTCCGGACCGGACGGAAGAGAGTTTTGAAGGGTATATTGCCGGACCAAAACAGATTTGTGTTGCAGGGTTCAAAGGAACCGGTACAATACTAATTGATTGAAGAGTCGATGTAGACCAGAGTAGAGCTGATTGTTAACACCTGAAGGTTCAATATAGACCGTACCAGAAGGTATTGTTGAATGTGTAAAAGTTCGACTTTTGTCAGGATAATCGAACGATGTTTTTCTGTCTACAGATAACTAAGATTGTGATGGAGCGCGTGCGAGGACGCACTCATGTCAGTATGGCCGTGTCGGTACCTGCGCCATTGCACGTGCAGCAGTGCCTCGGTGGCTAGTCGGAATTATAGTAAACAACACGTTCACCGCACACCTGCGCATTGCACCTGCAGTGGATCTCGGGTAGTTTCTTGTCTCGATTGTATAAAACGGACGGAGCGGCCGCCGTTAAGGCAGTCATGGCTCTGGTGTGGCACTGTTCACTTATTGTATCCCGCTACTAGATCATCCTAGACTATTCGGATAATTAATTCGTGGAAACGAATTAATTATTATTATCAGCTATTAAATTAGTCTCAGTACAATTTATAGTTGATTACCTGTGATCCGTGTATTTTGTGATTGTAAATGAATTCTATTTAACTACCTTCCTACATATGCCAGTTTGTTATGCTATATATATATATATATATATATATATATATATATATATATATAAACAAAAAATTATATATTAATAAAATTATATATAAGCCTCAAAAATCAGATAAAAGTTTCCTTTAATTAAAAGGCTTAGGAATAATTCTCACACACATTGTGCACATTGTACGTACTACAAATTGTACGTGTACTACTTGAAATATTTAAATAATGACTCGAAATAGAAACTATTCCCCAAATTTAGGATAAACCTTCAAAGTGTAGTTTTGCACAAAGGGTTCGGTGCGGCATTGTCGAGATAGTGAGAAAATAACAAATGTATGTAACTAAATACGAATTTATATTACAGTTTAATTTGATTCCTCTATTTTATCTACAAATTATTTGCAGGGCCTGTACCATCTTGTCTCGTTTTACACCAACCTTTAGGGGAATATTTATTACAGTTTCCACGCTAGGCGTCTACCTACACGCGTTGCCGGAAACTTTTCTTTATAATTTTAATTTCTTACACTAAATACATACCTAACAATAAACGGACGTCCACACATGCATCATATACCATCACATACCCATTACAGCCTATAAAAGTTAATCAGTTACGTAGACGACATGGTGCTTCTGAGTCCGTCAGTCAGTGCACTCAGAGGGCTTTTGTTCATATGTGAGGTTTATGCAGAAGCCCACGGTCTAAAAGATATAATGTTGCGAAGAGTGAGCTCATGGTGTTTAAGGTGGGCACGAAGAAACCAAATTTCGTACCACATGTAACTTTAGGGGGTGTTGCACTTAAACGAGTGACTGAATTTAAGTACCTAGGCCATGTTGTTACCGAAGATTTAAAAGATGATAAAGACATTGAAAGAGAAAGGAGAGCGCTGGCTGTCCGCTGCAATATGCTGGCCCGTCGGTTCTCACGCTGTACAGCCGAGGTAAAAGTTATTTTATTTAAGGCCTATTGCCAATCCCTCTATACGTGTGCCTTATGGGTCAGATATACGCGGCGGGCATACAACACCCTACGTACACAATATAATAACGCTTTTAGATTGTTGTTGGGGGTTACTGTAGTGTATCAGGTATGTTTGTTGACGCCCACGTAGACAATTTTTTCAACACTTATTCGCAAAAGAACTGCATCACTGATGCACAGGGTTCGTAGGAGCGCCAACAGCATTTTTAACGTAATTAGTGAGAAACCCGAGTGTACATTTTTGAGCAACTGGGTTCATGTCTATGTACCCATTGCCTCGGACAGGCACCCCAGATATATGAACTAATTTATTACCTAATTTTACTTACATATATTTAAGACTTTTTCTTTGTATTTTTAACAAAAATTATTGTATTATATCATTATGGTAAGTTTTGTTGGTGGTTTTGTTAATATATAATTAAATCGGATATGATGTATGTGTAACGGTGAAATCGACTTATGTTATTTTATTATTATTGGGGGGATATCAATATAGTTTTCTCATCTGGTTGGGTTCTATAAATATATAATTATAAATGGAAATGAAAAGATAAATATACATAAATACCAATAAAATTAAATAAATATAAAAATACATAAATAAATAAAAGCCCAACCAGATGGATGCCCTCGGCAGGGGAGACCAAACGGCCGAGGGTTAGGGGGAAAGGTAAAGAAACCGGCGGACGATACGGGCGGTATCGAGGAGCACCGCCTTCTGCATTTCAGCCAGGAGCGGTCCGCCAGGTAGTCCCAGCCGCCTCAGATGACCCGAGAGGCTGACTGGGATTAGCCTGTTTGCACAGACGACTACGGGAATAATTTAGGTCGGCAGACCACCCCACATGTCGGTAAACTCGTGAGCCAGGTCCAGATATTTTGTTCGTTTATCTGTTTCGGCTTTCACCAGGTTCTCGTCATACGGAATGGTAATGTCGACCAAAAATATCCTTGACTGTACCCGGTCCATCAGCACAATATCAGGCTTATTCGCAAGAATAGTCCTGTCTGTGATGATGGCCCTGTTCCAATGGAGCCTAGCGTGATCATTTTCGAGCACGGCTTCAGGCAAGTACTTGTAATACGGCAATTTCCGATCCACGAGACCGTATTTTAGAGCGAGCTCCTGGTGTAGAATTCTGGCTACTAGGTTGTGTCTGTGCAAGTACTCAGAGTTAGAAAGAGCCGAACAACCGGAGATGACATGCCTAAGTGACTCACCGGGATGGCGATAAGCTCAACAGATGTCGACGGTGCCATCCTTTAGGATGTATCTCCGATAGTTGTTGGTCTTAATAACCTGATCTTGTATTGCACAGACAAAAACCTCGGTTTCCCCGAAGAGGTCACCAAAGCGTAGCCAGTAGAGGGAGGCTACTGCGTCTACGAAAGGCTCATGTAGAGCCTTGTAGAACCTCCCGTGGAGCTCCTTCTCCTTCCATACGGTCTCCCGGTCGGTAAAGCTCTGCACTGCCGGGTCTTGCCATTGCTCGTTGGCTAAGGACAGAGGGGTAAGTCCTTTATCACAATAAATGACATCCTTATAGAATGGATCATTCGATCTCGCCAGGAATTAATCACGGAGGCTGCACACTTCGCGTTTATGCATGGTGAGTGGGCTCAGGAAGCCACGCCCACCATGCTTTCGCTGCAAGTACAGCCTCATTACCGACGATCTCGGATGATGCATCCTATGGGACGTCATGGTAGTGCGGACTTTTCTATCCAGGGTGTTAAGTTCAGTCTGAGTCCACCTGAGTATGCCAAAGGTATACATGAGGCCAGGCATGACCCAGCCGTTATATGCGTGTGCCTTATTCATACCGGACAAAAGGCTGTTAAGCACTTTGGTCAAGCGTGCATAAAACATGTCGCAAACTGACTGTTTCATACCAGCCTCATCGATACCGATGTTCTGTAACATACCCAGGTATCGGTATGTTTCAGCCTCGGAAAGGGTTCTTAAGTTGACGGGCATAGATAAGTCTATTCCCTCAGAGTTAGTAACCCTTCCTCTTTCAACATGGAGGACCGCACACTTATCCGTCCCCAGCTCCATTCCAATAGAATTGCTAAATTCACAAGTGATGTTTAGCAATTCCATAAGATGGGAGCGACTGGAGGCGAATAATTTGAGGTCATACATATAAAAAAGGTGGGTCACTTTTGTCCCTCCTTTCCGTAGCTGAAATCCCCTCTCGGAGCCCTCCAGTAAGGTACTGAGAGGGTTCAGAGAGAGGCAAAACCAGATTGGACTCAGACAATCGCCCTGGAAGATACCCCTTCTTATCCTTATATGGTTCTCCGCAACCATCATCCGCTCGCCCAGATGACAAAGGATCGTACTCCACTGCCCCGTACACTGCTCGAGGATGTCTCTAACCGTACAGTCTATCTTGTACAGCTCGAGGACTTTCTTTTGCCATGAATAGGGCACCGAGTCGAATGCCTTTCTGTAGTCTATCCAGGCGGCGGAGAAGTTCCGACGATTGCGTTTCACCACTTTGCCAATGACCGCGTCAATGAGGAGTGGTTCCTTGGTTCCACGACCACTGCCCCGACATCCATTTTGAGCGCGCGACATCATCTGATTTAAGTCTAGGTGACGAGTGATTCTCGCGCTCAAAATGGATGTTAGTGTCTTGTATATGGTCGGTAGACACGTGATGGGGCGATATTTGCTCGGGTCTGTGGTACCCGGGTCTTTAGGAACCTAATGGGTGATCCCAGTAGTGAAGAGGCTCGGAAGCGACTTCTGGTTGAGAGCCTCTTGGAACTGTCGGGCGAGCATAGTGTGACACACCACGATCCCCTTCAGCCAGTAGTGACGCAGCCCGTCGAGTCCCGGACTTTTCCAGTTCGGGGCCCTACGGACCGCCTCAGCTACGTCATCCGGTGTTATAATGACGGGGTCCATGGGCGTTATACTCGCACACTGACTCGCCACAACTTCCGTCCAAGGGCCCTCGCTGTGGTTTACGGGCTCTGACCACAGGCCGCGTCAGAATGCTACAGTGTCGGCATGATTCGGTGCTGGGCCCGTTCCACTTACCATTGGTTGCTCCAGTGATTCATAGAGCCTCTTCTGATCACTCTGGAAGAGACAATTCTGGTTGAACCGTGTCGACCTTTCGGTATATCGCCGAATCGGCTTTCCCCCAGCAGCGATTATCTGCTTCAGATCATCTATGCGCTCCGTCAGTTTTTGCGTTATATCCGGCTGGGACAAACTGACATTTGTCCTAGCAAACGCCATCCTGACGGTGCGCACAATTCTTGGCATATTATTGCCTGATCTGAAGCATATCAGGCTGCCGATGAGAGCTCTAGCCTTTGCGATACGTTCCTCAATTCTTCTTCTCCATGCTGGGATAGCGCTACTTTGGCCAGTAGCGCGTCCAGCCGTGGAACCTTATTATTATTATTATTAAATTATCATTTTATTTTCGATATTATTATGAATACTTATGCATTTAATATAATTAATATTAGTAATGATTTATAATTTTAGTATTAGAATAGATGTTAATGAATGTTATTTACCCTATGATCCTTGTTGATTGAAATAAAATTAATAAATAAATAAATAAATAAAAGTCCATTGGTAAACATACGCCTTTCTCATAGATTTTTGCCATCGTTGTCACGCTTACGAGGCGTATTGGTAACCTATTTTTTTAATTTTAAATTCTTATAAGTTTCCCTATGTAATGGGATGATCATATAATATTTATCCATAGATGTCATGGGACGATAAGCGAACGTGTTTTGAATCTTATTCTTATTCTTATATCCCCGTATATATCAATCAATATTATTATTGATTTATTATATTAATTTGGCTTTCTTTTAAACAAAAGAAAACAAGAGCAGCGATTTTTACGTAATTCCCATACTGATTAGTCTTGACATAAATATTTATTAACATTTTTGAAACATTGTTTTTAATGGGTAAAATATAGGACTGTAGGTATTTTACTATTAAGAACCTTTCCAACGGTTCGCAAGTGCTTTGCTCGGCTATTAGCTAAGTGGATCGTAAAACCTAGTGAAATGGGAAATGCTCATTGTATGAAATACAAGTTGTGCTTTGAGTACACAATTATGTGAATTTCAGTATAGGAATACTTTTATTATTATTTGAACAAACTCGGACACTGGAAATGGAAATGTCGTAGCTCAACCAATAAATATTTGCATGATGCTTAAAAGTATCGGGTAAAACTTAGTTCGATCCTTGCTGCTATCAAGAAAATTGTTAATTAAAATTTAAAGTGCTGATTTAAACGAGTTTAGCTGTGACAATTTTATAACATTATGATTTTCTCTAACAGAAATATTTTCTCCAGTATCGTGGCGATAGTTTACATACATAAATTGCACAAGGACAAACTTTCTGACCACGAAAAATTATTTTATAGGCCATAGAAATGCTTGTTTCGTGCGGCACTGGAACCCGCGGTCCTTAGCGCTGTAAAACATTACTAAGCCACTGCGCTACAAAGCCGATTACCTTTTATTTTTTTAAACAGAGTTCTAATAATGCTATAATTTTTTTATAGAACGAGCAAGCAGTTCATCTGATGGTTAATGTCAACCGCTGCTTATAAATGCAACACGAGAGGAAAAACAGGGGCGTTGCTCACCTCTTAAAGGATACAGCATTATAAGATTTTATTATTTATTTTTTAATTATGATTAATTAAGATATATAGCATTTCTTGAAAGCACTTAAGTCATATTGGCCCGAAAAAATTGGCGGTAGTAAGCGATTCTACAAAGAAGTCAGGCAAGGAATAAAACTCCTAGTAAATCGTACAGTGGTTGTGTATCCAGATAATGTATCATCTGGATGCTTGATGGTCAACCATGGTATACGTTGGTGGAATATGGAGGTTTAAATTAATTCTAACAATTCCTTTGAGCACCCTCAATGGTAAATGCGACATAAAATTCCCGATTAAACGATCCAAGTTATCTTAAAACGTAGTTAACGACAGGACATGGTGATACGATTCCTTTTCCGCCTAGGAATTTGTGTGGGTAGTGTGACAGCGCATTATTATTATTAATAAGTAGTAATTCCTTTCTATATAAAGCCATCTAAATACATCTTAAATTAAGGTTTTAAACTATTAAAATGCATTAATATGCATAAATTCTTCCTTCACTGCTGGCCGTATGAGGACGCTCAAGGTCGCTCAGCGAGCTATGGCGAGGGCTATGCTAGGAGTTTCTCGAGTGGCAGCCTCATACCGGTAGGCGTAGTGTAGGGTGACTCCCCACTAGATGGAGTGATAACCTGATAAGACGTAGATAGCGTTCCCTGGGGGAGGCCTATGTTCAACAATGAAATTGTGTGTGTGTGTGTATTGATGACAATGATGAAGCATAAACTAAAAATACATTCACTTTGAACATTGAGGGTTATTGTAAAGTAAAGGTTTAATATTTTTTATAGGATAAGTGTGAAAAACAAGCATGCAGTCCACCTGATGCCATGTGATTGCTTTAGCGCATAGAATGAATTAAAATGCAGATGCGTTTCACAGTTGTTACCCGTGGGGACTAAACAAACTGTGAATCTAGTAGAATACGTCTTTTACAGTAAAAAGTGTCTACAGTTCTCTACACTCACCACACGAAACAAAGCACCGTTAAGCTACTATTTTAAGCTGGTATTTTGTGAGAGTGTAGTCCTTCCCCAGTCGAGCCGACCCAATTTACAACTATAATACTAATATAGCTGCAGCATGGCTCTCCTACGCAAAATTATAATCTTTAAAAATCAATAAAATTATTAAAACTTTGATGTGTGAAAGAATAGAAAAAAGATTCAATTATATTATAATAAAAAAGATAAATAACATTTATAATAATAACAATGAGACCAAAACTGTGATAAGACCAACAAATATCGGAGATACATCCTAAACCAACAAATTATGGCGTCAACCTCGCGGAAAATTCATTTATTCAGAACATATTAATACTAAGTGAATGGGGATTTCTCTTCGACTGTATGGATCTATGAGTACTAGCTCAAAAATATTTTAACAAAATAGGCAAAAATATATATATAGGCTTAAAAATAACCTACCAGGGACTGATTGGGCACGTAACTTTCTTTTAAGACACAAATCTGCAATATCAAATCGCTAAATGTCAAATATTTCTACTGATCGAGCCAAAATTACAAGTGAAGTAATTGATAGTTTTTTCGAAAACTATGTGAAGTCTGTCGAAGGTGTCACCCCAGACAGCATAATTAACTATGATGAGACCAACCTCACAGATGATCCAGGTTGTAAAAACTATATTTATAAAAGAGGCATAAAGTACCCAGAAAGAGTAGTAAACAATTCAATAACAGCAATTTCCCTCACGTTTACGGGTACAGCAGATGGTGATTTGTTACCAATATAAGTGGTATATAAAGCGGATCGTCTATGGGATATGTGGTTAGAGGGTGGACCTGAAGGAACGAGATATAATCGATTAAAAAGTGGGTGGTTTGATGCAGTCTGTTTTGAAGACTGGTTTAATACCATTATTATTACCTTACGTACGAAATAAAGTCGGGCGGAAAGTTTTAATCGGAGACAATCTGTCGTCACATTTTTCGGAAAACGTTCTGAAGACTTGTGAAGGATTGAATATTGCATTTGTATGTTTACCATCGAAAACTACACACCTGCTTCAGCCATTAGATGTTGCATTTTTTGCTCCGCTGAAGACCTACTGGCGAGATGTGTTAACTCATTGGAAGTCAAAGGAAGGGCGGAAACATAAAACTTTGATCAAAAGTTCATTTCCGAAATTATTAGGTCAACTAAAAACTTATTGGTTGAAAGAGGTGCTGTATCACGTAACCTCGTAGCAGGTTTTAATAAATCTGGTTTATACCCAATCAACCCTGAACTTCCTAAATCACGGCTGCCACAAAGGACAGTTGTTACGGATGAACAAAAAAATGACAGTACATTATTAGCAGTAACAGAAATTTTGCAAGAAATAAGGAATCCTCCAGCTCCTGCCGAAATAAGACGAAAAAAAAAGTGTAATGTACAGCCTGGAAAAAGTATAACAGCAGCGGAATTGGTTTATAGTGAACTTCATACAACTAAAAAGTCAAAGAAAAAAATTCAAGGGGAAATATACATCAGGTCGGAAAAAAGAAATAAAATATAGGAAATCTGGAATTATGCTTCAGATGAAGAAGTAAATAAAGACTACAAACAAAATGAAATGGATACTGGTCAAACTATACACAAGACTGAAGAATGTAAAGATCTTGAACTTTTACTACATGAACAAACTGAAATTTCAGAAAAACAAGAAACAAAATCATTACACACAGCTAAAGAAAACGAAATTTGTGATCAAAATGTATTGAAACAAAAAGATTTGGACTTAATTACAGAGTATACTGAAGAAAAATTTAATAAATTCGATTTAAGCAAAACAAGTTTAAGAAACGACGACAGACAGCAACTTGAATGGACTGTTCAGAAAAATATACTGAATGAAAAGACAGGATTTATGCAAACATTTACAACTACCACTGCCATTATAGAAAAACAGAAGTCTCCCGTTTTGACTGAAAAATCAAAATTGAAACCATAAGCTCATAACGATATTGAACGAGAAACTATTGAAGTTGACTATAATGATATTAACTCTGGTTCTAAGGAAAATATTGAATATTTCTCAGGTAATGAAACCATAGGCATGGTTCGAAAACTGAAATGTAAGTCACATACACACACTCTTAGTAATAAAACAAAAAATAAACCTGCCAAAAGATCAAACAAATCGAAAAGTATAGATTCAACAACCACTGAAGAAATTTTAATGAGTGTTCACAGTGATAGTGATTTATACGACGTCGATATTGAACAGATAGAAAATTTGAAAGACTTTGATCTCGAAGAGACAGAATATCTAAATATTTAAGATGACGAGGTGGTAAAGAGAAAGAATGATGAGAGGGAAGCCAAAATATTTAATGAAATAATGCGTATGGACTTGGAACTTAAATGAATATGGATATTCAGAAACCCAGAAGAGAATTGGAGTAACAGATGAGGATAAGACTGAAGAACAATTACAGACTGATGAAGAATTACATACTGAAAATAAAGACATACCTAACTGCTTGAAAAACAATATTGAAAAACAATGTTCTAGTTAGATATTATCGAAAAAAATGGCAATATTACATCGGTTTAATTACTGATATTAATGACCAAATTGAAAAAAAAATACAAAACATCCTTCTTCAGTCATTTCTAAAAAAGGTGATGTCATATTTAAAAAACCAAAACGTTCAGATATAGATTATATACCTGCTGATATAATTGTAAAGGAAGTAGATTTGTTGCAAATTAATAAAAATAATGAATTCATCTTGTTCAATGATGAAGATTTGTCGTATTTTTGATTGGCTCATAATAATGTCATTAGTAAAACCAAAGTGTTTGTCAAAGTAGTAGGTACCTACTTAGCTACATTATTTTCATAAGTATAAGTTCATAAGTATTCCACTTTAGACGCAATATTGTCATTTTCGAATGGCTCTGCCGGCGGCATTGACGGGATTACGCCTCAGCAGCTCAAAGACCTTGTAAGCGTATCTGCCGGTGACGCCGGTAGGGTACTTCTTAATGACATAACAAAATTATGTAATTTTATGTTTTCTGGTAATGTCAATCCCTACTTATATGGGGCAAGATTGTGTGCCTTCAAAAAAAAGGATAACGGTATACGTGCTATTGCTGTTAGTTCTACATTTCGACGTTTAACTTCAAAATTAGCTTGCAGGCACATAATCTCAAATCTTAAGACAAAATTTCAACCTACTCAACAAGGCTTTGGGACCAAAGGTGGCTGTGAGGCGGCGGTACATTCGGTGCGTACTTTCTTAACTAATTCCAATGCAGATGTTCTTCTGAAGGTTGATCTTAGAAATGCTTTTAACTCAATTGATAGGATAACCCTGCTGAAAGAAGTGGCTAACAATACCCCCGAAATATATCATTACGTTTGGCAATGTTACAGTCAAAATTCAAACTTGTTCTATCAAAACCATATTATTGAGTCTGCTGTCGGTGTTCAGCAGGGTGATCCATTAGGTCCAGCTCTTTTCAGTTTGGGAATTCAACCTATTATTTCAAATTTAAAATCCAAGCTGAATGTCTGGTATCTGGACGACGGTACACTGGGAGGTAAAGCAGATGACATCCTCAATGATTTTACTCATATTTTTCAAAATTTTAAAAATATTGGTCTTGAACCAAATACAAATAAATGTGAAATATTTATTTCTAATAATTTATCTAATTCTAACAGAGATACCTTAATTCAAAATTTCAATCAGATTTCTCCAGGAATAAAAACTGTCAATTCGGAATCGCTTTACCTGCTTGGTGCTCCGTTGTTTTTCGATAGTACTAAACCTGTTTTAAAAACAAAATTTGACCAATTTTAAATCACGTTGATAAATTATATATTTTAAACCCCCATATTGCCCTTACTATTTTGAAATATTGTCTCCTTGTACCTAAATTTACATACTTGTTACGCTCAAGTCTAATCTGGAAATGTTCGGATATTTTAAAAGATATTGATAGTAATCTTAAAATTGCTTTAGAAAACATTCTAAATTTGAGATTAAATACAATAGCCTGGAATCAAGCCACTTTACCTATCAAATTTGGTGGTATTGGTGTAAGAAATATTTCTAGCGTCGCATTGCCTGCTTTCCTTGCTTCCGTGCATAGTGTCAATGACCTATGTAACACAATTTTAAATAATAAAGTAGACCTGTGCTTTGCTTCGGAGGCAAAGCAAACATGGCTGACGCTCTGTCCCGACAAAAATATCCCACTGGAAGTTAACCAACAAAAACAGTGGGATATTCCGTTGGTACGGAGTGTCCAGAAAAATTTATTTCAAAATTTCCATATTCAACAAGATCAGGCTCGCCTTCTAGCTGTTTCGACTAAGGAATCTAGCCACTGGTTACATGCTCTACCATCAAGTAATCTCGGCACATTGCTTGATGGGGAAAGCTTGCGCATCGCAGTAGGAATCCGACTAGGAGTGGCTATTTGTCAACCTCACCAGTGCCCCTGTGGTAGCAGCGTCGATGAGTTTGGGCTCCACGGACTTTCATGCAAGAAAAGTGCAGGTAGGTTTTCCCGTCACGGTTCTTGGAACGAAATCATCCGAAGGGCTCTTGTCTCTATAAATATCCCCTCGGTTTTAGAGCCTAGCGGGATATTTAGAGACGATGGCAAGAGACCCGACGGTATGACATTGGTCCCTTGGGAGAGAGGTAAAGCCCTAGTGTGGAATGCTACTTGCGTTGACACTTTGGCGGCCTCTCATCTCAAGGGTACCTCTTTTAGAGCCGGGGCGGCGTCAGAGGCAGCCGAATTTAGTAAATGGCGCAAATATGAGTCTTTGAGAAATGACTACATATTTGTGCCATTTGCTGTAGAGACTATCGGTCCGTGGGGTCCACGTACAATGAAGTTTCTAAAGGAACTGTATCCATGACTGGTCGTCGCTGCTGGTAATAAGAGGGCTGGTTCTTGCCTCGCTCAAAGGCTAAGTATAACTATTCAGCGAGGAAACGCAGCCAGCGTTCTTGGCACTATACCACGGTGAGCAGGTCTTTTTTGACGATTTAAATTTTTAGTTTTAGATTTTCTATATTATAGTTTCTTCTTTTATGTTGTATATAATTGGTTTTAATCTTTAATATTATAATTTTAATTATTATTTTAGTTAAGTTCTTTATTATAATTTTTGTAATATAAATTGAACGTTGTAACACCATTAAATATGTAAAGTATAAGTGATGTTACCTAGATTTGTATTGTGGTTTATTACTTGCCAAATATTTAATTTCCTATTTTCATAAGTATAAGTGACGTTACCTAAATTTGTATTGTGCCAAATATTTAATTTTCAATGTTTGCTGATTTAATCTTACCGTTTAATCATTTTTATAAAGATTTCAATTTTTAAGTTTATTTTAGCTTACCCTTAATTGTTCCAAATATTGCCTTTAATTCAACTTTATTTGTTATAAGAAAATTACTTTAGATTCCAAATAGCCCCTAAATGGCGCTTCACTTTTTTCACAATAAATTTTAAAATACTGAATATTTGACTTTTTATTTAAAACTAACCTAAAAACTTACGGTAAAACGAAAGGCCGCATAATCTTCTGTTGGCCCAAATATCGCAAAACCTGTTTAAATAGATACAGTTCAAAATAGAAGTGTAAAACGAAGTTAAGATTATGCTGATTTTAAAAAGCCCCAAAGTGGCGATATTTGGAATAGCACTTTTGAAAAAAAAATTCTCTGTATCTAGAATCAATACAAAAATACTATCGCATTTCTTAGAAGGTATTTCTGAGTTTAATCGTAAAAAAAATTGTGTAAGCTTATAACCTTAGTAATTTTTGTGTACGAGACTGTTTAAAAAAAACATACCAAATAGCCCCACATTACTGTAGTTAAAAATACTTTATACTAATTAGTTCATTTATAATGGGCTGACTAACGCTACCTGCAGTAATTCACAAAAGTATGCGTACTTCTGCACATAACAGCTACAAAATTTGCCTACCTTCGTGAAGTAAAACACTTGTAAGAGACAATTATGTGTAATGGCATGCGGACAGGATGATCTTTAGTTGTTGGCATTTGTGTACGGACCATTTATTTGCATTCATCCTCTTGCCACCAACAAATTGCTCAAATATAAATACTGCGATTAAAATAACGAATATTGTGCTAAAAGCTATGAGCAAGCAACAATTAGAAACGTAATCCTCGGTTTTGTCACTGCTAATGATTTCAGGCGCGACAGAAAGGGATTTTTGGAGACGTAGAATGCTATTAAATATGTCTAAAGTATTCTCAAAAATTTTTTGTTGTATTAAATTTTATTTAACTGTATAAAATACATAAAGATCCCACAAAACATGATTGTTTTTAAATTAAAACTCATACTTACTACAATTATTATTTTATTAATAGATCTATAGAGAAATGAGTTGAATTATTTTCCGATAATAATGACAAATTATTTGCGTCATCATTACAGGCCTTCACTCTTGAATATGTGCTAAGTCTGCCAAAGAATGCCACAAAGCACTATCTTAAGCCACTTGCATTTTTGTAGCATAGGTTGGCAAACGAGTACGCAGTCCATCTGATGGTAAGCGGATGCTGTGAACCTAATTTTTAGAGCGCATCTTGAAAAAAAAATCAACCTTATGTTCCCCACATATTGCTGAGTTACATTTAGCGCATGATGACTTTGTCATGCGCCTTTTGGTATATGAACATAGACCACGGTTTTTTTTCTAATATTTAGGGCCTCTGTTGGTTGAAGGTCATTGCTGGATTGTGGCTGACTCTGACCTTGACCTTCATCGTGCCCTGAACCCAATATATTTGTGATTTTATTCTTGATGTGCGTCGGTATGGTACAAATTTCCAGTCGGATTTTCAGCCATGGTTCTAAATGTTGTGAATGCATCTTCCTAATAAAGTTACATCGGTTCATTAGTTTTTGACCCTGTACAAAGATATTGTGGCAGC